CCCAGTCCCTCCGGGTAGGGCATAAGCTGCCCCCGACTGCCCTGGGTTGTGCTGACACTGAGCTCCCCCGACATTCAGAGCAGAGTTGCCAATACGAGCGCCCGTGTGGTCAGCTGGGGCCCTGGGAGGCTAGGTGTCCTTGCATCTGTTTTACTTACTCTCCCTAGAGAGCCAGAGACCAGGCCTTGTGCCCAGCCCTGTCCTGAGGCCTCGGATGGGGTAGGACCTGGCATGCTGTCTAGTGTTTGGGCCAATAGTTTTCAATCTGAGAGGGAACTTGTGCAGGGTGAGGCAGAGATGGCTTGCCATTGGGCACTGCCCTCAACACGGCCGCTGAGTGTCCGCTCCTCAGCTCTGCTCCGAGGCCCGCAACATCATCCAGGTGGAGCCAGGCTGGGTCAACAGTAGGATAACCCATGGGCCCCCTGAGGGAGCGGGGAGCGGCTGGGCTGGTTTGGCCTTGCCACACTCCACACCTGTGGGCGGGCAACGAGTGGCCACAGTGGGCCACCGCCTTGCCGGAAACACCTAATTAGGGGACAGAGAGCAACACAGTGGAGCCCAACCAGTTCTGCTTCCTGCCTAATGCCGCTGGAGACACCCGGTGACAGGGTAGCTCACGGGCGCGTGCTCCCTGTGCATGCAGCTGTGACAGGGACACGTTCGTGGGGGTGGTAGGGAGACAGGTTTGGCAAGTGAGTGTGACGAGGCAAACTGCAGAGGCCGTAGCAGCCTCAGCAGCATCCCAGGCTTGCATGGCATGGCAGAGGTAGGCAAAGGGCCCAGGATCCCCCAAGAATAAGCCCTCCCTCCAGAGGAACCAGTGAGCCCAGTGACAACTCATTTTTTTCTTTTTTTTGGAGAGGTTTTTTTTTTTCGCTATAGGGCACGTGCGCTCACCAGACAGACAGAGAGAGACATAGAGACAGAAAGCGAGAAATCACCCCCCAGGGGGGATGGTCACGCCGCAATCCCTTCTCCTCCATTCTCCTCTCGGGATCTTGGGCACGCACGCACACATGCCCGGCGTGAGTTTTAAGCCACCGGGTCCGGGATGCAAACCGCAGTCGACTATGTGGGAGTCCAGCGACATAGCCATTACGCTAACTGCTGGTTCCCCAGTGACAACTCATTTTGAGTCCAGTCCTGAGCTCGCCCTCGTCTGCTGCCACTGCCCCCCGTGCGGCTCCAGACGCACACATGCCACAAGGTATGGGCCACCTGCAGCTTCGGGCCTCGCTCCTGTTACCCGATACCAACAGACAGAGCAGAGGTTCCTCTTGTCTGTACCTGGATTGATAAGTGGAAATTGCCATTCACTGTGACTTCTCAGCCGGTCTCCAGCAGTGGGTGAGCTGGTGTCAGAAGCCGCCAACTGTCAGCCCCCGCCCACCCCAGCCCTTCCCTGTTGCCCAGACAGCTCCCAGAGTGGGGAGGCAAGCGGGACTGGACAGCCTGACCCCAGTCTGCTGAGGCTTGGGAAAGGTGCGACACCAGTTCAGAGGCCGAGCCAGGGCCAGGCACTGGTGAATCAATGCCTGGAATGAGGTGGCTCATTAAAGTCCCCCGGACAGACGGACGCCAGTGCCAGCCGAACGGGTTCTGGGCGGCGGGGCAGACGCATTCTTCTCCTGTCAGATCTGTGTTGTGTTTTGAGGGGGCGAGAGCCAGGGCCTCTCCCGAAACTTGGTGCTTTCACACTCACTCTTCCTCTATTGTCACGTTCCTCCCCCACGCCCGTCAGTCCTGGGGGCGGTGGTGAGGGCAGCTGTCTCCCGGTCTAGTCTCACTGTCTCACCAGCTGTGGAGCAGCAGGGCACAGAGGGCCTCGCTTGTGGTTCTGAAATCCTGTGTTGGTCTCCCAAGTTCCCCTGTCCGAAGCTCACCTATCCTTTCTGTTCTAGGCCCCTCATGATTTTTCCTTCTGGCTCTTGGAAAATGTCTGTAGCTTATAGGTTTGAAGTCTATGGGGTCTTTTTAATTTTGTCAGAGAGTATGTGAGTTTGCCAGAGAGAGAATGAGGGAAAGCGAGAGAGCCCTTCCTCACAGGGGGCAGCCACACATTGCAGTCCATCCCCGCCAGCTCTCCATCCTGTCAGGATTTAGGGAATCCTGGCATGTTTTTCAAGCCACTGGGTCTGGACTGGAACTGTGCAATTGATCATGTAGGATCTAGCCACCTCAACCCCCGTGCCTCTGGCTGGCCCCTGGAGGCCCTTGTCTAAGTCTAGGAGTCTAATAAGCTCCTTGGACGAAAAATATGAAAATTTGAAAACTTAGACTGCTTTTCCTGGGCTCTTTTGACTTTGAGACTGGTGTCCTCTGGGGCCTACAAGAGAACTCCTTTTCTTTTTGTCTGTAGTCCAAGCCTCCCCGGCTCCACTTAGCGTGAGGTATCTGGGGTGGGGAGCGGCTACGTCAAAGGGCTGCCAGGTATCGGTGCTGCCGCCACTGCCGGAGGGAACCCAGCCCTGGCTGTGCCAAAGTGAGCGGTCCGTGCTGTAGGGGAGGATTGTGTAACCCCTGGGCAGGCCGCCCGGAGACTGCTCCGCAGCATCCACCTGCTGCTCCCTGACCTCCTCCCTTCTCCACCCATCTGGCATGTTTGCTTGAGGAGCTGGCCTGCCAGGAGTGCAGGGCCTGAAGCCCTGAGGGGCTGCAACAATAGGGACCAGCCACCTCAGAGGAGGAAGGGGCTGGGACCACCCCTATCTCCAAGGTCAGCAGCTAAATCTGCCTGGAGGAGAGGCCTCCGTGCCCCCACCAGGGATCTTTCTGGGGGCACGGATAAATCTCAAAGTGCTGTCCCTGGGCCCAGGGCCTTCAGTGGTGCCCTTTGTCCCTGCAGGAGCACAGACAAGGCCTGGAATCCAGAGGGACTGGCCCAGGTGGGGCAGGCAGACTACTCTGGCGGGATAATTGGCAGGGCAGTTCGGTCCTCCCTGTTCCGCTAACACACAAATTACTCAGCTGGCAGTGGCGCTTGGCTGGCGTCACCTGTAATTACCCTAATAGGGCAGGAGGGAGGTGCAGCATGTGGCGGGTTGGGGGCAGCCCCACTCTGCTGCATGCCTGCAAGGGGAGGGATGGAGGCTCCAGGTCCCAGCCAGCTCTCTGTCGGGATCGCTCCTGAAATCCTACTGGGTCCTCTGGTCTCCAGCAAGCCCCTCACCTGCTGTTCTCTCCCCAGTCAGCCTGGGCTTCTGCCCACCACAGCCTTACCGGGAGCCAGAGCCATCCGTGGCTGAACCCCCATCATGCCCCCTGGCTTTGGACATGAGCCTTCGGGACTCCAGCTACAGCGCAGCCCCTGGGCCCTGCGTGGTGGCCCAGCTGCCCTCTGAAGACATGGGCCACTTGACAGATCCCCAGAGCAGAGACCATGGCTTCCTGCGCACCAAGATGAAGGTAATGACTCGCCGTCTCCAAGGACCCCCGAGTGTCCTGCTGTGAGACACGGCACAAACAAGACATAGGCAGAGACTGCCCTGCGGCCTGGGCTGAGGTCACTGCAAAGATGCAGACTTTGTTGGAGCCCAGATTGGGGGGTGAGGGACAGAAGTAGATTGGAAGTGAGAATGTCATGCCTAAGGGGCTGGGATCCCAAAGGCCCTTTGGAGCCCATGTCTGTGGGTTGTTCCATTTTGTTTCCAGCCACAGGAGGTGAGGGCAGCTGTAGGAAGAGGCACCTCTTTACACAGAAGGCCTAGGCTGAGCAGCGAGAGGGGGCTTGGCTCAGCTCCAGTTGAGCTCCCGGCTCCTGGCTGTGGCATATTGAGAGTGTGGTCTGGAGTTGGCACAGGGGTTCACTGTTCCCTGAGGCAGGCGCCGAGCAATCATCTTGCCCAGGTCTGCTGTTTCCAGCCCCCGTGGTCAGTGTCTGAGGCCCTGCATCGACAGGGGCTGGGGCAGTGACCCCTCTGCATTCGGGCACATGCGGTGAGCGGTCACAGGGCAGCGGAAATGCCCGCGCTCCTGAAGTGAGCATGAACAGCAGGGCTATCCCTGACCCATCCACATTCCTGAAAACACCAGGATCTGGAAGCATCTGCCAGCTGTGATCGAGTAAACGGGCACTCCTCGTAGTGTGGCCTGGGTGCCAGGGACTGAGAAAACTAGCAGTAGGGTGCCGTCACTTCCTCTCCCGCCTGTGGAGGCCGAGTGTGTATTTTAACTGGAGGGGAATGATCAAGACATGCTGGCTACTTGGCCAGAGCCAGCCAGGCTCTCCCGCTGCTCATGGTGTCCCTCAGTCTCAGGAGGAGTTGTAAGTGACAGGGCCACCTACAGAGCAGTCTCTAAGATGTTGATGGAGGAGCATTGAGACCATGCCACCCATTCCTTGGAGCCGCTGGGTACTGGCATTTATCCTCCCAGTCTGCCAGCCTGCAGCCCTTACTTCTCAATGTCTGTCACAAATTCTGTCTTACCCCATAGGTGACCCTGGGGGACAATCCCAGTGGAGAACTCTTTACCTGCCACATCTGCCAGAAGGCCTTCACCTACCAGCGCATGCTCAATCGCCACATGAAATGTCACAACGACGTCAAGAGGCACCTCTGCACATACTGCGGGAAGGGCTTCAATGACACCTTTGACCTCAAGAGACATGTCCGAACTCACACCGGTAAGCAGAAGCCCGTGGCTGCAGGGGAGCACGTCAGACCTGCCTGGCCAAGCCATGTGGGAAGGTTCCAGCAATTCTGGCTCTCTCTCAGGAATTGATAGTCTGGGAGGGACATCTTGGGCAGAGAAGGAGCCACCACCCCTTCCCCAAGTCCACTGGTGAGAGCTTTTTTGATTGAGTCACTTGGGAAATTGGCATTGGACAGACTTCCCTCCATCCCTTCCTCTGCCTCAGAATCGGGTCTCCTGGCCGCTCTCTAAGTGGAAGCTACACATAGGTTCCAAGGTCCCCCTCAGGTCCCTGATGCTGGCCCGTGTCTTCCCCGCAGGCGTGAGGCCCTACAAGTGCAGCCTCTGTGACAAGGCCTTCACCCAGCGCTGCTCTCTGGAGTCTCACCTCAAGAAGATCCACGGAGTGCAGCAGAAGTACGCGTACAAGGAACGGCGGGCCAAGCTCTACGTGTGCGAGGAGTGCGGCTGCACGTCCGAGAGCCAGGAAGGCCACATCCTGCACCTGAAGGAGCACCACCCCGACAGCCCGCTGCTGCGCAAGACCTCCAAGAAGGTCGCTGTGGCCCTACAGAACACCGTCACTTCCCTGCTGCAGGGCAGTCCCCACCTCTGAGTGACACGAGTCCCAGGGATGCGCCCAGAGGTCCTGAGAAGGTCCAGGGTCACTCCTGTTGCCCTGCCAGTCCACCCTCCTGCGGCTTCTTGCCAGAACACCAGTGATCACGCGTGGAGCCTCTGTGCCTCGGTCTCCCCCCAGGCACGCCTCGTCGCTTAGGCCCAGCACTGACCTCTGATCATTTTTGCATTTTTGTCTCATGGACCGAGGCCGTGCTGAGCCTGGGAAAGCGTGAATATGTCTGGGGCAGGGGTGAGGCCAGGGGTGCCTTCAATGAGAAGCGACTACCTGTGGAGACAAGCACTGTTTCCTTGGCAGCAGGAGTTCCTTCCCAGAGGAGGTGCACACAGGATCTGCTGCTCCTCTGAGCAGAGGGTCAGGGCCTGGGTCGCCCGTGGGTGTCAAGAGTGAAGAGCACTGGGAAATAGCACCCCACAGACAACTGCAGTGGGGGGCTGGTGGTGGCCCACCTACCTGGCAGGGTAGGTGCTCAGGGTTCCAGGGGATGCTCTGCCCTTCTGACAGAGAGAAATGCACGTGTGTGCACATCTGTGTGCATGCGTTTCTTATGTGTGTAGCACTGCTCAGAAATGTGTGTTGTACACACGTGCGTGCACTTGTGTGTGTGCATGCACACAGAGGAGGCCTTTCCACATCTCACCTCATTTTTAAGATATCAACTACAAGGTGCCAAGGAGGTTTGTTCCTTTTTTAAAGATGACAAATGTACAGATATTAATATATTTTTGGTGCCAATGGCTACTGTTTTTAAGAGAGGGGTGGAGCTGGCTTTTCTCCATTCCCACGTGGTTCTATTTATCCTGGACATTTCAACCTCCTCTATGCCTTGGGTCTGGGATGGCTGCCCCACCCACCCGTTCTTTGTACTTCCTGAGATATTTAACTGAAGACCTTCCTCCATCCCCGCCCTGGAGGACAGGCTGCTCCCTCCAGCCTTCCCCTTCTGCAGGTCAGGGCCTCTCATCCACGTCTGCTTCCTCCTGCCTGTACCTCCCTGCCCTTTCAAGGCAAGTCCCAGGATTCCCAGAGAGCCCATTTGCCCTGTGATGGTATTTATGGAATAACTCACCTGGAGGCTGAGGAGGTGTTCTGAGTTCTGGGGGTCAGCAGGTGGGATGATGAGTCTTTGACTCCTAGTCCACCGCCTGAAGTACTAAGCAAGCACAAGGCCAAGCTGGAAGGACGGCCTTTTCCTGGTTGAGTCAAAAACCCTAGTACAGCAGCAGAAAACTGGGACAGAACGACAACCGACACGTCAGAAACTTGCAGAGGGAAGAATACGAGTACCATAACATCGGTTAGGTGTCGCCTATTTTCGATCTGAAATGGTAGACTGGGGATTTGAGTGTCCGTGGAGAGTTGTCCTGGCCTAATTGACCACTTTGGTGTGCCTGGGCTTACTGGTGATAATGGCAAAGGGAGAGTCGGGCAGGGTTTAGAGCCAGCCTGCCTAAGAGCCAGAGAGATAAACTCAAAAGATGACCCCAGGACACAGCAGGCTGGGTAGACCCTGAGGCCAAACCCCCATCAGGAGCAGCCTCAGCCTCCCCTGTCCTGGAAGAGTAGTGTCTACACAGCCCCAGGCTGGCCTGAGAGGAAGGTGCCTCCTTGGCCTTCTGAAACAGGCAGAGACTGATCGGGAGGACTCGTCTGATTTAACTTCAGTGTCTGGGGAGCTGCTGTATTCTGGAAGTTATATGGTATAAAGTAACATTGTCCGGAAGCTCTGTTTTTGTTTACATGTCTGTATCTCTGGGTTCTGAGGCAGTCACTAGGCTCTGTGTTATCTGTTTTATTTTATAACTTTTCCCCAACCCACCCCTCACTATTAAAATCAAAGTAACGTTTTCTGTGTTTTTGATGTTTTCATCTTAGGGGCTCCTTTCTCTCAGGCAGGGAAATCAATCCAAACTCAGTGCACTCTCCCCCAGCGTCCCCTTTCTGGTTACCATTGGGGCTCAAGTCAAGAACCTGGCCCAGACGGATGAAGTGGCCTTCCGAGGGCCTCGGGAAGTCAGTGCCTGCTGACTCCAGTCCTGTATGCCCTGCTCTTGGTGGCAGCAGCAGCCCCAGTGGGGCCTCCCTGGGGGCTCTCTATCTGCCTCATACTCCTGCACCCCAACCGATCCTCTGCTGGATTCGGAGCCTCCAGTCACTCCAGACTCTCTGCGGTTAATGGTGGCTTCAGTCTTGGCCTCTCTGTCAGCACCCTGCCAGGGTCGGGCCTTGGGGGAGGAGCCATGTTCCCAACAATAGGGTGCAAAGTTCGTGTCACTTCCAGCCAGGCACCTAGCGAGGGCCACACTTGTACAGTGCTGGGTCTGCAGGCGCACGCAGAAGTGCTTTTGGCGTATGGGTTCGCTTGATCCTCCAGCCTGCCTCCGTGGTAGGTGCTGTTATCCACGCCCTTCCCTGGCAGGATGACATCAGGCCCAAAGTCTCACAACTAGCAGTGGAGCTGGGACTCTAACTGGACAGTGTGGCTTAGGGTCTGGGCTCGGAAGCACTGCACGCACTGCTGGTAGAGAAACCAGGGAGCACTAAGCAGCACCTCTCGGCAATTCAGACCACCCAGTCTTCCCTGTTCCCAACACAGACAACAGGATGAGAGCTGCCAGACCTGGGCCACTGGCACCATGTTCCGAGAGGCATGAGAAGGATGGGTACAGGTGCTGTAAGGAGAAAGGGAAACCCTGATCTGGACTCTAAGGCTCCAAGTGGGAAATCTAGAGGACTGGAAAGGCTCCCTAAACCCTCCCATGTCTCTAAATAGCAAGCGTGGAAGATTTCTCTTAGCTTGAGAGAGCCCCTACACTCACATGAAAAGCCAACCAAATCCGTTTTACTCAAGAAGGTGAGCATGTTAGGAACCCAGGTGATTAATTGTTCTGTAAACTTTAGGGGAACAGCGACTGCTTCCAGGAAACAGGGTTGGGTGGGAGCCTTCCCTCCTACTCTACAAAGGAGTTTAGGGTGGGATACTGCCATGCCACTCGGATAGCAGGGTTGGGCCAACAGTCACCTTTGGAGGGCCCGTAAAAAGTTCAGACTCTAGGATGGGTGGCCAGGAAGATAGAAGAGAGGAGTGGGAGTCAATCTGTAACTAAGGATTAATGGTGTGCCCAGACTACAAACACCGGGGACCCAAAAAAGGAGTTTTTGCATCCGAAAGAACAAAGGCTTCTTGGCAGAGGTGGGACTCAGCTGGGCTGGGAGAATAGGAGGGCCTGAATAGAACAGAAGAGGAAGGTGTTTCAGAGAAGGGTGGGGTGGGATCAGACCCAGAAGGAGGAATGGATCATGGGTAGGCAGGGGGCTTCTTGTTCTCTGACAAACATCAGCCCTATCTATGTGCCAATAAGAACTGACAACGTGATTGTGAGAGACAGAGAGCCTGGTGGGACCTAGCAAAATAGCCTCATCAAGGAAGAAGGCAGAATCCTATTTTTTATCTAAAAGCAAAGCCACAAATGCAGGGTGTGGAGACCTTTAGGAGAACAGTATAAGTACTATCAAGATTTATACTCTATGTATTTTCCAATTCTTTTTACAATGAGCATATACCATTTTTACAATCAGAAATAAATAGTTATAAAATAATGTAGGGTTTTAGTTGACTTGAAATTCAACGAGTCAGGACCAGCAGTTGGTGTAAAGGCTATGTCACTGCACTACCATGTAGTCAACTGTAGTTCAAGTCCTGGACCCAAAGGCTTAAACTCACGCCAGGCGCGTGTGCATGCATGCCTAAGATCCCAAGAGGAGAATGGAGGAGAAGGGATTGTGGCATGGCCATCCCCCCTGGGGGGGTGATTTCTCGCTGTCTGTCTCTCTGTCTCTCTCTGTCTTTCTAGCGAGCGCACACGCCCTATAGCAAAAACCTCTCCAAAAACAAAAAGGAAATTCAACATGTCAACAGAGAGATGGAGTTGTACCTCTCCCTCCCAAAAAGGAGCTACTGTTAGCATACAGCAGAAGGTCGCTCTCAACCACCAAGGTCGCCTCCCTCCCTTTGGGCTAGTCCTCAGTCAGTGGGTAGCCAGGTCTGAGCCTAGCCCATTCTGTGTGATCACCTCTATTTCCTCATCTATAAAATGAGGCAGGTTCCTAATTCTGAAAGTCCTTTTCTGCTATAAAAACATTTTTTAAGAGTTTTTGTTTGTTCGCTTTTTTTTTTTTTGCTATAGGGCGTGTGCGCTCGCCAGACAGAGACAGACAGAGAGACAGAAAGCGAGAAATCACCCCCCAGGGGGGATGGCCATGCCGCAATCCCTTCTCCTCCGTTCTCCTTTTCGGATCTCGGGCATGCATGCACATGCGCCCGGCGTGAGTTGTAAGCCACCGGGTCCGGGATGCAAACTGTGGTCGACTACGTGGGAGTCCAGCGACATAGCCATTACGCTAACTGCTGGTTCTGAACACACATACAACTTTTTAAAAACATTTATTTAATTTAATTTTTTATCAGTATTTTAAAATTTGTTGTAGGAGAAAGAGAGAGAAAAAAAGAAAGAAAGCTGCCAGGTCTGGGACTTGAACTGCGGTCAGTTATGTGGGAGTCCAGTGCCTCAACCACCATGCTACCTCACACACACACACACACACACACACACACACGCCTGGTGTGAGTTTCAAGCCACCGGGTCCGGGACTTGAACCACAATCGGCCATATGGGAGCCCAGTGATGTAACCACTATGTCATCTGCCGGCCTCAAGACTTTTAAAAATTATTATTAAACTTTTTTAACTTGCTATAGGATATATGCACTTGCTAAAGAGTGTGAGAAGGTGAGAAATCACCTCCACGGGGATTGGTCACACAGCAATCCCTTCTCCATCTTTTTGGGATTCTGGGCACACATGCACATGCTCCAGAGTTCTTTTCAAGCTGCTGGGTATGGGACTTGAACCACATATGCCACCAGCTCGCTGCAAAAGACTATTAGAGCACACAAGTGGAAGTCTGTTTTGTTTGGCCAGAGGGTGCGTGCACTTACTAGAGGAGACAGAGAGGGAAAGTGAGATGGTCATGCCATAGGCCCTTCTCCTCCATTTCTCCTTCCTTTCAGGAGTTAGGGCACATACACATACACTTAGCATGTCTTGCAAGTCACTGGGTCGTGGACTTGAAGTGCGCAGTTGGCCATATGAGATCCAGCCACCTTAACCACCACATCGCAGGTTGGCCCTCCTTTCTGCTATAGAGACTTTATGTTTGGGGCTGGTCCTGTAGAATGGTTAAAGGAGCTGGGTCCTACATGGCTGACCACACAGTTCAAATTCTGCCTGGATAGCTTGAAAACTGCTCAGCACCCATATGCATGCATGCCCAAAACTGTAGCAGGGTAGAAAAATGGAGGAGGATCGCAGTGTCACCACAGCCCATTGGAGGGTGCTTTCTCCCTCTCCCTCTCTGTCTCTGTCTCTCTCTGGTAGGCACATACATGTGTCCTCAGGCAATAAAGGGGAAAAAAAGATTTTGTGTTTCTGGGCTCCCATGTTGATAAAACCCTTGACAAAACTCACTGGCAGACAGCAACAGAGAAGAGGAAGCAAAGGCTGAGAAGGTTGCCCCAAGACTAGGGAAGGCCTGAAATATGGCTGCCAGCCTGGCAGGAGGGAAAAGCTGGCTCTAGTGGTTCTAGTGGGCAGTGGGGTCAGAGATGGGGCCGAGGACTCTTCCAAACCTTGGCACAGCATAACTAGAGAGTGTTGCTCTGGAAGGAAGAGCCCTGGCCCTGAGGTTGGAGGGCTGCTGGGGTGAGGCCACAAGTCATTTGTTAAGAATCACTACAGGGACTCCATTCTATTGATAGGAAGGATGGCAGGTTGGACAAAATAGTCTTCAAGGCTCTTCCTTTTATGAAATTCTCTAAGGCCAGCCAAGGCGCAGGGGGCAGGACTTTCAGGCCTAATTGCCATTGCTGAGAAGGCAGAGTCTGGGTGAAGATGCTGGTGAACAGAATGGATGCAAAAGAACGTGCTCTGGGCTCGGGATGCCGAAGAGCTGGGCTTGTGGAGAAGGGCTTCCCTCTCGCTGCTTCTGGCCCTTGCTTGCCCTCTGGGTCCACCCCCTGATCCAGGGTCGCTCCTGGTTGTGTCCAAAGCACATCTGCTTTCCTTCACTTCTCACACAGCGCCCTTCCCAGGTTTCTGGAGTCTGTCTCCAGCCCAGGCTCTTTCAGTCCCTGTGACCAGTTAGCTGCTCTCAGTTCTGCCTCCCAATGCCCTTCTGGCCTGGCAGCTCTCCCCCCTGGGGAGGCGTCATGGCTGGCAGACTTGCTGACACACCAGGTCAGGCACCAAGTCACTTCAGGGCCGGAACTGAAGGGTGGGCTAAGGGGGCTGTGGAGATCAGGTTCTGAGCAGGTGAACATCGTGAACTCCGTCTTCCAGGTTCTGTTTGCTGATTGTAAGAGGTGGGGATCAAGGGACAGGTTTCCTCTTGTTCCTCACCTTTCTTCTCCATAAAATGGCCATATGTAATCCTTTCTTGAACAATCTTTTAAAACAGAATAAAGTACAACTCAGGTATCTTAAAATGTGCCCAGAGGGCAAGCCCTGGAGCCTAGTGGTTAAGGGAGCAGACTCCCACTTGGTTGACCGTGGTTCCAACCACAGCCCCAGTGGTCTGAAAAATCATGCTGGGCCTGGGAACCAGCAGTTAGCGTAATGGCTATGTCGCTGGACTCCCACGTAGTCGACCGCGGTTCGCGTCTCGGACCCGGTGGCTTAAATCTCACGCCGGGCGCGTGTGCGTGCGTGCCCAAGATCCCGAGAGGAGAATGGAGGAGAAGGGACTGCGGCGTGACCATCCCCCCTGGGGGGTGATTTCTCG